AGGATTTAGGGTTTTTGGGTTTAGGGTTTAGGGTTTAGGGGTTACGGGACCCCAAACAAAGAGTACACCGGCCCTAAATCCTAAACCCTATAGACCCTAGAGACCCTATAGACGGCCAATGGAGCCATTGATGCCCACGAGCAGCATGTTCATGTAGTCTCCATACCATTCGCAGGGTTTACGAGGAAAGCCAAACCCTAAACCCTAAACCCTAAACGCATGCTGGCGAGCCTAGCCCTTAGCAACTGCGTTTCGTGAGAACCACGGCTACGGAGAGCCGTGGGTGGACTTCGAGAAAAGGAGTCTAGGGATGGCAAGATACAGGCTCTGGCTTCATGAACTTGAGGGTTTAGGGTTTCTGCAGGGGCGTGGCCCCTGCGCTCCAGAGTCCTGTTCCCCTGACTATGCTGTTGAAGATGTCCCACTTGTGTGTCAGGGGGATGCTCGCATTGAGGACGAGCTTCTTCGACCAGAAGGCCTTCCTCGTGCGGGCCCCCGCTGCTGCGGCCACGGAAAGGGGTGAGAGTTGGAACTCTGTCGCTGGTCCCTCGGGTTTGACCCTGAAACCCTAAACCCTATAGACCCTACAGACCCGACACACTCTGAACCGTGGGGGTCGTTCTAAAGGTCCTTTGCAGTAGCTTCAGAACCCAAAATCTACTCTTTTGTGGGTTACTACTATAAATCAATCCCCTTATAGGACTAACGCTAGACCCTAAACCCTAAACTCCTTGTAGGATTCCTAGACAACCTGCAATTACTAAAAAGGAAGGGTTTGGGTCTTATGGTATGTACCATTGGGATAGGAGGCCCTGCAAAAGAGGTTGAATCTTTCGTAAGAAGGGAACCTGCCCCTCTTGGTCATTTTGGAATTTAGGGTTTAGGGTTTAGGGACTTCGAGTCAGGTAACGGCATTGGAACCTGAAGCAGGACCTTTCGGCCTACCTACAACAAGCCAGCGACCCTAAACCTAAACCCAAGCCCTTAAGCCCCCGAGACCAAGAAGGGGCTGCTAATTATCGGAAACCTCCGTTTCTTGCTTCAGAAGCCCGTGATTCGGATTTCCTGCATTCCTTACCTCTCTAGGCTTATAGGGTCGTAGGATTCAGGGTGCAGGATTGACGGCCGCAGGCTGACCCTAAACCTTCAACCCTGTGGGATGTGCATGAATTGTCCCTGAAGCCAAAGGACCCAACACCACAAACCCGAACCCTACCCCGTTTGTCGGAATCAGGTTCGAAGGAAGGACTCTAGACCCCAAACCCTACACCCTACACCCCAAGACCTCCACCCTGGACCCTCAAGTTTACAAGCCAAGCGACGCCCTGCGGAAAGGTGTTGTTCGGGCAGACTTCTACGCACTCCCTGCGCAGGCTTGAAAGGTTGTGCTTTAGTGTTTAGGTCAGGGTTCAGGGTTCAGGATTCATGGTTAGGTTCAACTCTTCTCCTCGCCCGGCTTATTCCTCGCTCATCACCGTATCCCAGCCCAGATTATCATCACAGTGTCCCTGGAGTCCCAGAGTGTCACGGGAGTGCCCAACTTCAGAGTCTCCCCCAGAGTCCGCAGTGCCCAAGGCCCCAAAGTGAACTCGGAGATTCCTTGCCTGCAGGGTGGGCCTGTTCGAACTAAAAAAGAAGTTATGCAGAGCGTACCCCAGGGGGGGGGAAACTGTTTCAGTTTCAGTTTCAGTTTCAGTTTCAGTTTCCGTCGCCCGAGCCGGGAAGGAAGGGGGGGGGGGGCAGTTTCAGTTTCAGTTTCAGTTCAGTTTCAGTTTCAGTTTCAGTTTCGGTTTCAGTTTCAGTTTCAGGTACATTTTGCCCATCGGCCGCAACGGTCGACGCGACTGCAGGAGGAAGGTAGAAGGCCTCAGTGAAAGTGAAACTGAAACTGAAACAGTTTCAGTTTCAGTTGCAGTTTGAGGGACAGAGGAGGTGTCGAGTTTCAGTCCCAGAAAGTGAAACTGAAACTGAAACTGTTTCAGTTTCAGTTTCAGTTTCAGTTTCAGTTTCAGTTTCAGTTTCAAACTAGTTTCAGTTTCAGTTTCAGTGACAGTGAGAGGAGAGGTGTCGAGTTTCAGTCCCACACAGTGACTGAAACTGAAACTGAAACTGAAACAGTTTCAGTTTCAGTTTCAGTTTCAGTTTCAGTGACAGTGAGAGGAGAGGTGTCGAATTTCATTCCCACACAGTGACTGAAACTGAAACTGAAACTGAAACAGTTTCAGTTTCAGTTTCAGTTTCAGTGACAGTGAGAGGGGAGGTGTCGAGTTCAGTCCCACACAGTGACTGAAACTGAAACTGAAACTGAAACTGAAACAGTTTCAGTTTCAGTTTCAGTTTCAGTGACAGTGAGAGGGGAGGTGTCCAGTTTCAGTCCCAAACCATGGAAGTGAAACTGAAACTGAAACTGAAACTCACTGAAACTGAAACTGAAACTGAAACTGAAACTGAAACAGTTTCAGTTTCAGTTTCAGTGAGAGGGGAGGTGTCGAGTTGCAGCCCCAGACAGTGACTCAAACTGAAACTGAAACTGAAACTGAAACAGTTTCAGTTTCAGTTTCAGTGAGAGAGGAGGTGTCGAGTTGCAGTCCCAGACAGTGACTCAAACTGAAACTGAAACTGAAACTGAAACAGTTTCAGTTTCAGTTTCAGTTTCAGTTTCAGTGAGAGGGGAGGTGTCGAGTTGCAGTCCCAGACAGTGGCTGAAACTGAAACGGAAACTGAAACTGAAACTGAAATTGAAACAGTTTCGGTTTCAGTTTCAGTTTCAGTGAGAGGGGAGGTGTCGAGTTGCAGTCCCAGACAGTGACTCAAACTGAAACTGAAACTGAAACTGAAACAGTTTCGGTTTCAGTTTCAGTTTCAGTTTCAGTTTCAGTTTCAGTGGGGTTCGTTATGGAAACTGGAGAAGGTGCAGGGAGGCGGGGGCGACAACAGGAGGCTGGTTCGAAGCGTCCGAAACCCGAAACCCGAAACCCGAAACCCTAAACCCTAAACCCTAAACCATCAACATCCGGCTACAGAGGATCAGTGCTTGAAGCTTTGCGGATTCCGAAAGCGCGTTGCCAAAAACGAAGTTTTGCTGTAAGGTTTAGGGTTTAGGGTTTAGGGTCTAGGGTTTAGGGTTTTTAGGGTTTTTAGGGTTTTTAGGGTTTTTAGGGTTTTTAGGGTTTTTAGGGTTTTTAGGGTTTTTAGGGTTTGTAGGGTTTGTAGGGTTTTTAGGGTTTTTAGGGTTTTTAGGGTTTTTAGGGTTCAGGGTTGGGAGGTAACCGTTACGAAGCTTAAGCCCATGTTAGTGCTTATACAAACAGTCCTTAACCAATAGGGATTATAATCGGGGGTACTAGGATCCCTATTAAGGACTGTTCGTATAAGGGGGCACATCCCAAAGCCTATGTGTTAACCCGAGACCCTAAACCCATAAACGTATTTAAATCCCAAAACCAAGAATTGCTAGGACCCTAAAACGTTAAAGCCCAAACCAAAAGAACACTGCAAGTCGGGCTCTGGGCCCCAAGCACTGAACCCTAAACCCTTAAGCCCGCGGAAAAGAGGGCAGAGAGCCCTGAGCCTGCTGGGCGCCAGGTACTTGAAGTTCGTGCACTCCGTACACCTCGGCGGCTTCGGGTGCAGGGGTTTAGGGGTTTGGGGTTGGGATTTAGGGCTTAGGGTTTAGGGTTTAGGGTTTTGGGTTTAGGGTTTCGGGTCCAGGGATCTTTGAGCATTCATCGTCCAGCAGTGACCATTGCACTTTAGGAGTCACTTGGATGGTCGAACGCTTCGGCGGCTTCTTAACCAACGCAAGCTGGGTTTAGGGGTTAGGAGTCTCACCTTCGTAGTTTACCCACTTCTCCAAAAGGCAAGGAATACCACGGTTAACCTTCATTTTTCACTACACAGGGGGGGGAATCCCGCACAAGAGTCAAGTTCAACTATACCATTGCTTTGACTTAAGCCGGACGCCCTAGGCCCTAGGCCCTAAGGCCTAAGCCCTAGGCCCTAAGCCCTAAGCCCTAGGCCCTAGACCCTAACCCCTAAGCCCAAGCCCTAGTCCTTTAAGTTTCATCGCAAAGGGCTGTTGTGCAAACGGATTGAGAACTGTAGTCCTGATTTTGGCTGGCTGAGCCAGGGTTTGGGGCTTGGGGGAAACGCTTTTTCAGGGAATTGCAGCCGCTTGCAAAGAATGATGGTCGCCTACTCTCAGAACCCAAGTAATTAGTAACTTTTTAGGATGGCCCTTAACACTCTCTTGGAAAAAATATGCCCTCTCCAACCCAAGAAAGGGAAAATATCAAATATCCCAAGGGCCTACCTAGCTTTGCCATCCACAGCTCGAGCCCCCAAGACGCAAAACCCCAAAGCCGCGGTGTGAGGAAGAGGCGTCTCGGCGTCGATGCATGTGCGGCAGTTCGCCGGACATTTCCTCAGCTTGACGGCTCTGGAGGTCAAACTGGGTTGCTTTAAGGTGTCGGGTTGGTGCTAAAGGGGGGTGGGGGTACATGCATAGGTACTGCTATGAGGGCTGATCCACTCTTCCATAGTAGCCGCAGCACTTCAAGGGCACCTTTCTGTAGATGACGAGCCCTAATCCCTAATGAAACCCTGGCCCCTAGAATCTGGGAACCCTAAACTGATGGGTCTCCCTACTACTCCCCTCTATACGCCCCCCCGCCCCCCTGGGTTCCCCCCTTAAATAACCTTAACTACAGTAGGCTTCATTGTCCCTCAATAGCCTTAATTATGGGGGGGGGGGGGGGGGGGAGTTTTTTTTTTTTTTTTTTTTTGGGGGGGGGGGGGGGTTGTGATGAGGGTGGTAGTCGCAATCCATGATGAACACTAAACCCCTTAACCTCAAACTCAACAGGGCACAACTGGCCTCCGTGTAGAACAAGAGCTATTGGGGGCCTTATAAGGTAGGGATTTCTTTTTGTGCTGGGGCTTAGGGTTTAGGGGTTTAGGGTTTAAGGACCCTAAGCCCTTCCATGCAACTTTCTTAAGGTCTACTGGGGTTTGCAGTGTGGGAATTTGCCACATCGGCTGCCTTCTGTTATAGCTCCTCCGCATCCACACTTCGGGTTTTGCTCGCGGAGCTCGCGATTCTCCGGCTGCAGCTTGCTGATCTTCGCCTCCATCTCGTGCACCTTGTCGGCTCCGACCCGGGTGTGATGCTTGTTCTTTCGGTTCTTCTCGTACTCGCGCTGCTTTTCGTTTCGGCTGGCCTTGTCAGCCATGACTATGACCGCACCTGCCTCTTTCTTCACTGCCGGCTCCTTCTTCACTCCAGGCTCCTTCTTGAGTGGCACGATAGCAAGGGCTAACCCTGAGCCCTGAACCCAAAGCACTGTCAACCCTGCCTGCGCCTAGGGTTTAGGGTTCCCTGAAAAAAGACACTGGGCTAAGTCAGGAAATACTATAGGGGTCTTAATGATGAAAATAGTGTTTTTGGGAAGTAATGATCGTATAATCATAAAGGGACCATAAGGGAATACCATTGGCAACTATGCCGACCCCTATAATAGGCGCGTTTGGCGCTGATCAGTGGAACCAAGCTTCGCACAGGTGTTGCCCACCTCTGCATTGCCCACCTGCTCGCAACAGATTTCTGCCACGGTTGGGTTCAGGGCTGTAGGGCCTAATTCGGGTTTAGGGTTTGGGGTTTAGGGTTTAGGGGCTTAGGGGGTTTAGGCTTACTGAGACAACCTCTCGCCCACCCCCCCCCCCCCCCAACCTGTTTTGTCCCACGGGCTTCGCGTAACATAAGGATCCGCATGATGATGGGAGCCTTCAAAGGTACCAGAAGTGACCCCTGAACTCTAAAACCTTAAGCCCCCAGACCCTACTAAACCCTAAGCCAAAACCCTAAACCACTATCCTTACAACCCCAACCCTAAACTCTAAGCCCCTGAACCCTAAACCCTACCCTAACCCTAAACCCTAAACCCTAAACCCTAAACCCTAAACCCTAAACCACTAACCTTACAACCCCAGCCCTAAACGCACTCTGTGATCCACCAGCCAAGGCCGGGGTTTGGGTCAGGGAAGTTTGGGTTTAGGGTTTAGGGTTTAGGGTTTAGGGTTTAGGGTTTAGGGTTTAGGGTTTAGGGTTTAGGGTTTAGGGTTTAGGGTTTAGGGTTTTGGGGTTTAGGGTTCAGGGTTTAGGGTTTAGGGTTTAGGGCTTCGGGTTTTAGGGTTTAGGGTTTTAGGGTTTAGGGTTTAGGGTTGTTTAGGGTTTCGGGTTTCCGGCTTGGGGCTTTAGGGCTTTAGGGGGTTCGGGAAGTTAGAGTTTAGGGTCTTGTATGTGGAGTCGTAAGCATGATAAGCCCTAAGCCCTGAAACGCAGTGAAGGGCTGCAAAATACAACGCACTCCGCCCACACAACACAAACACACCTGGTGACTCGAAACCCTAAACCCCCTAACTTCTCTGACCCCCACGTGAACCTCCCAAACCCTAAATCCTGAACTAAACCCTAAACCCGAAACCCTAAAACCTAAACCCGAATCCCTACCCTAAACCCTATAAGCCCCAAGCCCTAAACCCTTAACTCTAAACCCATCCTTATGTTTCAGTGGTTTTGGGGCCCGTAAGAGATTGACCAACGCATGCCCACAGAGACCCGGACCTTGTAGTAGCCAACGGGGCATTCCAGCTCGCACCAGAAGTCTGGATTCAGATACCTGGGGTTTAGGGTTTAGGATTGAACCCTAATTAAATCCTAAACCCTAAACCCCTTTGTTCTCAGCCAAAGCGCTCAATGTTCGAGTCAAGCCAATCTCTGCATACCCTAGTTCTTCTATGATGAACTTGAAACCCTAGCAACAATCATAGTTTGAGCTATTTCCTAGGAAATATGGTACTCAAAAATGAAGACTTATTCCCACGTATCCCTGGGAGTTGACCCCTGATTTGATTTTGGGCCAGGAATTCTAGTTGGTTCTGCAAAGAGTGGCCACACAAACGAGTTCATTCGAAGGGGTTCCACGTATGGGTAGGCTTCTTCTCCTCTCTACTATGTGCTTCAGAGCCCCCCCCCCTCCCCCCCGCCCCCAACAATGGAAGATAATAATCCGTATGTTGCCCTTGTAAGGAAGAACAACACTTATAACTGTCTGTTGGGAGGCTTCTTAAGCAATTAGTAGTTCTAGGACACCCACTAGCTCCCTCAAGACCTCGTACTTTAGATTCACCCCCCCCACCCGGCAACGTGCATCCTTTCAAGGCCTTGGCTTTAGGCTTCAGGGTTCAGGGTTTAGGGCTGAGGGTTTAAGGGTTGAAGGTTTAGGGTTTAGGGTTTAGGGTTTAGGGTTCAGGGTTTAGGGCTCTAAACCCTGCGAGAACAGCAGCAGGCCGAGTTGCATGGTATTCTTGCACTCGGTGCATGTGCTGGCGTCCTGCAGAGGGAAGCAAGTGCTTCGACACCGCCCCGAAACCCTTCAGCGCAAAAGGCTCTTAGGCGATTCCTTCCAAACCCTTTGTTCTAAACCCATGCCCTAAACCCTCAAGACTCCCCATAAACCCTAGAAAAACCCTTTAAACCCCACAAACCCTATAAACCTTGAAACCCTTACAAACCCTAAACCCTAAACCCTAAAACCCTCCAAAAACGCTATCAACCCCAAGGTCAGATGCAGCAGGCCCCAGGGATGCATCTCATGTCGGGACCTAACCCAAGTCCCACACCTTTGGGGCTTAGAGGGTTTAGGGGTTTAGGGTTTTGGGTTTAGGGCTTAGGGCAGCTTGCGCCCGGATACCATAGGTGCCGGAATAACCTGAATAGGGTTTTGGGGAGTATGATTCATGATGGTATAATTCTCAAGGGGCGGATAAAGGAATACTAGTTGTAACTATTCCGACCCCTGTAGAATTTAAAGGCCAACGGTTTACCAAGATAGGTTTTTTTGGGGACATAAGGGGTGTAGGGTCGATGCGTTTAGGGTAAAGTCCCCCAGGTTCAGGATCACAGCGGAGCACGAGAGTATGCGGAAAAAAACTAAACCCTAAACCCGCTAAACTCTAAACCCTAAACCATAAACCCTAAGCCTTAAACTCTAAACCCTAAACCCTAAGGTCCATACCCCGAACTTGAGATGGTGTTGCTGTAGCAGGGCGGAAAACTCACTCCTTCTGACCCCTCAAAACTACGTCCATTTCGGCTTTAAGGCTTAGGATTCCTTTTTTAAACGCCCCTCTGGCCTTCGGGTGCATCATCCAGCTCTCGCAGGGGGTGGGTTGAGGGTTTGGAGTTTTCCGGTTTGGGGTTTTAGGGTTTGGGGTTTGGGGTTTGGGGTTTTATCTCGGGTCCTCACACTTGTTGCAGTCCCCCGGACAGACTGGGCAGACGTTGCCGATGGGCTTGCTGTGAAGAGGGCGATGGTAGTGGCCTTGGGCGAGGTGGTAACTTCCCCAAGATTGGGCTTGCAGGTTCATGGGAAAGAACGACTGGGATCCTAACTACTATCTCTCTCTCTATATATATATATATATGATATATGTATTAATTAGGTAAGTATTTATATATAGCTAGTCATAACCTGGCTTGCATCCCTTGAGCTTTGGGGGCCGAGGCTGGGCCCATGGCCGTCCGGGCAGGATGCCACACACTGGGCATCGGCGTTGAGGTACCTGGGTTTAGGGTTTAGGGTTTAGGGTTTATAAAGAGTTTAGGGTTTAGGGTTCAGGATTTGTGGTTTAGGTGGCGGGATATGAGGGTTTAAAGCCTGCTAAGCCTGTCGCTGCAATAAGCTGGAAGCTACACCCTGCCACGATCCCAAATCAAGCGGACAACCTGAAACTAGGCTGAAACCCTGGAGCTGTAAACCCTGCAGCCCCCAACCATAAACCCTCATAGCCTTAAACCCGAAACCCTAAACACCCATACAAAAACCCTCAGCCCTAATAGCCTACCGAGTGGTTCCGACGTCTGAAGTCTTGGAAGCTGGACTTTAAGCCTCCGTGCGTTGCCCAGACAACTTTTAAATGAAACCATGAATATGCATAAGTTTCTCTCTCCCACTTATGTATATACACAAAAGTTCCTCTCTCTCTCTCTATATATATATATACACAGAGAAGTGTGTGTGTGTGTGTATACATACATGTGTATATATATATATACATACATTGCAGAGACTGAGAAGAACACCAAAAAACAAGAGCCACAAGCAATCAGCCCCCACAAACCATAGCCCTTCGAAGACCCAGCGCCGAGAACCCTAAACCCTAAACCCGAGACCCTAAACCCGAAACCCTAAACCCTCAACCCTAAACCCTACATGCCCAGGTGCAGGTTGTTCTTGCATTCCGACGCGTAGGTGGCCGTGATGCACTTGTTGAAGTCGTCGGGGCACTTCATGCACTGGCGGCCGAGCTCCTCTACAGGGAGGTTTAGGGTTTAGGGTTTAAGGTTTAGGGTTTAGGGTTCTTTTCCAACTAGAACGGGGTCTTTTGGGGCGGTTTCTACTATCAATATTCAGCCTAAACTCTAAACGGTGAATATCATTATATATCTACATATATATATATATACACATGTATATATATATATGCATATGTATATGTGTATACATGTATATATGTATATATATATATATATATATACACACTCATTTATGTATTGTTTTTTATGCATTCATTATACAAACATGTGTATATATATATATGCGTATATGGATTTAGAAGTCGAAAATATCGGTATATTGACTCCTGCGTTCGCCATGAACCGGAGGGTTTAGGAGTTTGGGGTTTAGGCTTCAAACCCGAAACCGACAAACGTGTGCTGGGGCCTTCAGGGTTGGACGGACAGGGATTCGCTGAGGCTTGGAAACTCTAAACACCACCAACCCCCCCCCCCCCCCCCCCCCCCCCCCCCCCCCCCCCCACAACAAAAACAAAATGTAAAAATACGACCCCAAACTTTCTCAATTCCAAAACAACAAAAAGAATAACATCATCTAACATGAAGCCTACAAGTCCCCCTCCCTTACTTGAAGGTTCACGGGCAGTTATAAGCAGGGTTAAAGGTGCCCCTGGATAAGGTTCTAACCAGCTATAAGTATAGTTACCCTACTTGTAGCCCACTTATAGCTACCCATGAACCTCCAAGTAGCCCTAAACCCTAAACCCTAAACCCTAAACCCTAAACCCTAAAGCGCCTCAGCGCCGAACTCGTAGTCGCCGTCCGGGCAGTGCTCAACGCATTCGCCCGTGCGGGCGAGGAAGTAGGAGCTGTTGCAGACCTGTTGACTTAGGGTTTAGGGGTTTAGGGGTTTAGGGGTTTAGGGGTTTAGGGGTTTAGGGGTTTAGGGGTTTAGGGGTTTAGGGGTTTAGGGGTTTGGGGGCTTAGGGGTCTCGGGGTTTAGGGGTTTAGGGGGTTTAGGGGGTTTAGGGGGTTTAGGGGGTTTAGGGTTTAGGGTTTAGGGTTTAGGGATGCTTATGGATTTAAGATGGAGGGGTGTGAGTTGAGATGTTCCCCCTTGTACTAGCACCCCCAATGGGATGGGATCATGGTACCCCTATTAGAATCCCCGATTAAGGACTGTTAATATAAGGGGCGGGAATATCCCAAGTCTTCAGCAAACAGTAGCCCAAAACCCAAAATATATTTCGGCTATGCTTTGTAATGAGAACAAGAAGAAAACGCCTACTTTCTGGGTGTTTGCCTGCCGGTCGACCTTTTGGGGGTAGCAGTGCTATGTAATCCCAAAGCTGAAACTTCAGTTCTGCGGTTGTTCAGGGTCGGGGGTGGGAGTCGTACACTTACCCTAAACCCTAAACCCTAAACCCCAAACCCTAAACCCTAAACCCCAAACCCTAAACCCTAAACCCTAAACCGCCCTAAACCGTAAACCCGAAACCCTCAATCCGAAATCCTCAAGCCTAAACCCTAAACCCTAAACCCCAAGCCCTATGCCCTAAACCGCCCTAAACCCTAAACCCTAAATCCTAAACCCTATCACGCTTGCGGCCTTGCAGGTGACGTCGCTCTCGCACCTCAGATGCCAGGTGACCGTGGGGGTTGTTCTGGTGTTCAGGGTTTAAAGTTTAGGTCAGTGCACTTTCTTTCCGGCATGTATTCCAACAGGAGCCAGAAAGGAACCACAATTTATAGATTTGGGCGCTTTAGTCTTGGCAATGAAGGGTTCGCAGGAAACGCCTATGCCTGAGGGCCTGACCCTTGGCTTAAGCCATAAACCCTAAACCCTCAACCCTAAATCGCAGGCATGAGTCCTGGGATTGTATGGTCAGCATCATGACTTATGCTCGCGTCAGAAGTCTTGGCATTGGTGTTTGTCATGACATGTACATGTATGAGGGTTTAACTAGAGAATCTAGAATCCCCCAGTTGAGCTTTAGCTAGCCCCTAAACCCTAAACCCCAAGCCCTAACCCTCAACCAACTAACTCAAAACCGTGAGCCGAAAGGGAAACCTTTCTTCGGCGTATTGGGGTTTAGTTCGTTTAGGGCTTAGGAAACCCTACCCTCAAAAATGTTTAATTAGGGTTTAAGGGTTTAGGGTTTATGGTTTATGGTTAATGGCTAGGGTTTAGGGTTTAGGGTTTAGGGTTTGGGGTTTAGGGTTTAGGGTTCAGGGTCTAGGGTTTAGGGTTTAGGGTTCAGGGTATAGGATTTAGGGTTTCGGGTTTAGGGTTTAGGATTTAGGATTTCGGGTTTAGGGTTTAGGGAATCATTGTGCCCTGGTCCTATGCTTGGGACAAGATGCATGGCCCGGGCTGGGTGGGTGGTAGCTGAGCTTACGCCTCTGGTTGGAGGTGCAGCCTTCAGGGCTTCGGGTTTAAGGAGTCCAAAACAAAAGCCAAGGCACTCGAAGCAGTTCTCACCACAAGGTAGGCACTCCCCACCAATCATCTCGGTGCCATTCCTGCAGCTTTCCGACGCCCTAGGCCCTGAAAAACCCTCGAGCCCTAGAACCAAAAAACTTTGAAGACCTTTTTAGGGTTTAGGGTTTGGGGTTTAGGGCTAGGGTTTAGGGTTTCGGGTTTAGGGTAAAGGGTTTAGTGCTTCTAGGGTTGGCTGGGGTTTGGGCCTTTAAAGAACCCAATTATTAATTGTACTTACAAATTATAAACCACCTGTACGCCCCTTTGGTGCCCTAAACCCTAAACGCTAAACCCTAAACCCTAATTGGGGTTAGAAGAACAGATCTAAAAAAATGTGTTATTAACTACCATGAACCTCCAAGTAGGAATCCCACCCTGGGATGTCCTGGAACTGTGAAGCCACAAAGCCTCTATGCGGCACTGGCACCAGAAAAGCACAACGTTCAGGGTTTCGGGATTGTGGGGTTTAGGGTTTGGGGTTTGGGGTTTAGGGCTAGGGTTTAGGGTTTAGGGTTTAGGGTTTAGGGTTTAGGGTTTAGGGTTTAGGGTTTAGGGTTTAGGGTTTAGGGTTTAGGGTTTAGGATTTGGGGTTTAGGGTTTAGGGTTAGTAGGGCCCTAGGTCGCAGCCAGGCTTCTTGTAGTAAGTGTCGGGGCAGGTGTCGGTGCACGTGGCGCTGTCCGTGCGGTAGGTGTAGAGGCGGCACTCCGTACCTGGTAGCCCTAAGCCCTGTAACCCTGTAAGCCCGGTAAACCCTATAAACTCTCTCAACTCTAGAAACCCTATAAACCCCACAAATCCTATAAACCCTAAAAACACTACGGACCCTGTAAATCCTTGAGCCCTACAAACCCTGACTTTGGACTTGGGTTCGGAGTTCTCCAACTACCTTCTCTTTGTGGGGGGGGTTCAACTCCATAGATACTCAGAGCCTCAACGCAGCAACTTGTAGGGGTTTGGGCTTGCGGGTAACGGCATACCCATTACCCCAAGCCATCATGGAGGTTAAACTTGAAGGCATGAGAGAATCGAGGATGGCCCGTAAACCCAGAATGGTCCTAAATATGACCATCTTAAACCCCAAAAGGGAAAGCATAAAATGTCCCAAGGGCCACCCCAACAGGGCGCGACTGCTAGTATAAGGGGGAAGAATACGGAAAGTTGCAATTCCCATGTTAAAGCCCTTCGCGCCCTCATTGCAGTAAACTTCAAATTTTGCTCCGGCTCCCACTCTTTTGGAAAGGTTTCCCGGGGGGAGTTCGTGAATCGACAAAGTGGTGGCATTTGCGAGGATAGTGACGACATTTGCGAGGATGACGACTCGACATCTGACGGCTGACGAGACCAAGCATGCTACGAACCGCGGCCCAGAGTCACGAGAGACATACAAGGTCGCAACAAGTAGAACGGTTTCCAGGGCACCCTAAACCCTAAACCCTAAACCATACACCCTACACCCCTACACCCTAAACCCTAGACCCTAGACCGCGACATGCCGGTTGCTGCTGTTGAGAGACGGTAACGACGATGAGCAGGCACGGGTACTGTCGCCCACGTGCAAGCCGCTCAATACCCTGAATGACACCTTTGGGTGGATGAATTCCCGAAGTCGCGAAGCTCAATAGACTTCAGGCTTGCAGGGCTTGCATTTGGGGATTAGGGACATCCTAAACCCTAACCCTAAACCCTAAACCCTAAGCCTAAACCCTAATCCCGAAACCCTAAACCCTAAACCTTCGGGGCTGAGGCTCCAGGGTTTTGGGCGCTTCAGGGGTTCAGGTCACCCCACCCCCCATCCTCCCTCACACCCACCACCCTCATCCCCGCTTCCCCCCCCCCTTCCCCCTTCCCGAAGCCCTAAACTCTAAACCCTAAGCCCTAAACCCTGAACCCTAAACCCTACACCGGGAGGCAGGAGAAGCGGGGGGGGGGGGGGTATTCCCCAATACACAACATTTGAATACTGAAAGAAGCCCCCAATATAGTTGCCCTAAACCCTAAACCAGAAACCCTAAACCCTAAGCCCTAAGCCCTAAACCCTAAACCCTAAACCCCTCCCCAAGGCTAGCAGGGTGCATTCGGTCTCGCTGTTGCAGGCGCTGCAATTCTCGTGGCACTGCTTGCAAAGCCCACCTCGGCACGCTGAGAAGCAAACAAACCCTAAACCGAAAGCTGCTACTTGGGTTTAGGGTTTAGGGTTTAGGGTTTAGGGTTTAGGGTTTAGGGTAGGGTTTAGGGCTTAGGGCTCAGGGCTTAGGGCTTTGTAGGTCGCAGCTCCCTCCGAAACCTTTCAGGGCTATTTTGGGGAAGGCTTGGGGAACCGCACGACAAACAAATAAGTCCCTAACACCTGATGGGGACGATGGCAACCGTAAAGGAATTAGAGGCGCTAAAGCCCAAACACGAAATCCCACCAGTAAATTATCATACACAGATATAGATAGAGATATAGATAAATGAATATAAACAGAGAGAAAGCCTTCACTGCTTAGATACATTGGTAGTTACACTCTAGAAACTCTAATACGCAAATTTCGAAGCCTGAAGAGTTCGGCGGCTTCAGCGAAGCCACCCTGACGCCCGAAGACACCGCAGTGCTGTAAGAACCACCCTAATTAAACCCTAAACCCTCAACCCAGAATACCCTAAACCCTGAACCCCAAACTTGCGCATTCTCGACTATCGTTCATTCTCTCTCATGTCGAGATGAAACAGGTCCAAATTGAAGGGTCAACCTCGCCGCCCTAGGAAGACGACGGGCACGTTGTTCTTCACTAGTTATTTGTCTGTGTCTTTTTTGGGAGGGTTTAGGGTTTAGGGGTTTAGGGGTTTAGGGTTTTTAGGGTTTGGGTTGTAGGGTTTGGGGTTCAGGGGTTGAACGATGCCCCCTGGCCCAAGGACGCGTGCCAGAGGAGTAGAGCCCTGTGCTTTTTGTCCCTGCGTGAGGAGGCCACTTTGGGCAACACAGCCCACTCGGGGTCTCGGGGTTGCCTCAAACCAGGGTACCGAAGACAATTGCGGTTTAGGGTGTATCAGGGTTTACCTGAACCGCCTAGACCGTCAAACCTAAATCCTAAACCCTAAAAAAGGCTTTAAGTCTAAGGCTTTTAGGTTGTGATGTTCCCCCTTGTACTACAAGTCCTTTATAGGGATTACAATATATAGGGGGTACTGTACTCCTTATTGAGGACTGTTAGTATGAGGGGTAACATCCCAACCCCAAAACCCTAGACCCTAAACTCTAAACCCTAAACCCCAAACCCTAAACCCTAAACCCCAAACCCTAAACCCTAAACCATCCCAACTTCTCAAGGTTAAAACCCTCAGCCCGGCTAGGGGTTCCTTGGGAGCACCAGCACGGGCTGCGACGTCGGCTCTTCCAGAGCGTCCTCGAAGTCCTCGACCTCCATCTCAGACTCCTGAAGGATAAGGTTTAGGGTTTAGGGTTTAGGGTTTAGGGTTTAGGGTTTAGGGTTTAGGGTTTAGGGTTTAGGGTTTAGGGTTTAGGATTTAGGGTTTAGGGTTTAGGGTTTAGTGTCTAGGGTGTAGGAGTCCTTCATGTCCGGCACTTTGTCCATGGGCTCGTCCCTGCTGGCTTCCTCCATGGCCTTCTGCGAGAGCGCCTCCAGACACAAAACAGCTGCGAAGGGTTTTAGTCCTTAGGGTTTAGGGTTGAGGGTTTAGGGTTCCTTAACCTAAACCCTAAACCCTAAACCCTAAATTTTAAACCCTAAACCCTAAACCCTAAACCCTAAACCCTAAACGAACGTTTGCATCTCCAGGCCTCGATCAGCGAGCCGCGGTCCCTGGGCACTCCCGCCACGTCCACGGCCGCCAGTCCCAGCAGCCCTCCGTGCATCGTCAGCCGCAGCAGCGGGCGGAGGCACACTAGGCCGGCCTAGGGCTTGGGGAGCCTCTAGGGTTTAGGGTTTAGGGTTTAGGGTTTAGGGTTAGGGTTTAGGGTTTAGGGTTTAGGGTTTAGGGTTTAGGGTTTAGGGTTTAGGGTTTAGGGTTTAGGGTTTAGGGCTTAGGGCTTAGGGCTTAGGGCTTAGGGTTTAGGACCTGAAACCCTGAAACCTAAAGCCCAAACCCTACACAACAGAAAGCTCCTGATGGGCTTTGGGTTTCAGGCTCTAGAGCTTGGGGCTCACAAAAACACACCCTAAACTTACCTTAAACGCACCCAAACAGCTTTGTGGGTAGGCTCTTAACATAAAACGCCTTCTAGAATTCTTAGGGGCCCTACCCAAAAAGCAGGGTTTGGGTTCTTAAGGTATTGGGTTCCCCCCACGCGGCAGGGCTTTCTTGTGAAAGGCTTATAGGCTTAAGGGGTGAGGATTGTTCCTCCTTATACCAACAGTTCCTAACAGTCCTGAATAGGGATTCTAGTACCCCCTATTGATTGGAATCCCTATTGAGGAGCCGTTAGCTAAGGGGAAACATCCCAAGGTGAGGATTGAGGATTGAGGCCGCCCCGTCCTCCGCCAGTCTGGGCCTTCGGCCGGAGCTGTCGATTCCCAACCTTGGTAGCCACGGTGACCATGTTGTAATAAGGGCACCCTTTTTCCCTACTTTGGAGCAGACCCAGGAAAAGAACTCTATATCTTTTTGAGTAAAAGTGGCTATAATGGGGACCTAGAACCAAGAAAGTATTATAACGTATAGTACTCCAAGATCAGTTTCTAAGGGAGCCTTGAACCAAACAAAAAGTCACAAGGGTACCACTGGGCTGCCAAGCAACAGCTTTCCGGTAAAGAGGAAGATCAAGATGAAGGGCACCAGGGTGCCAGAGTATGCGATGACCCAAATGCTCCAATGCGCAGTCTCGCCGATGACCGCAGCCATAGAAAAGAGCACCCAAAGAAAGAAGCTCCAGAAGATCACGACGAAGAGCACCGCGACCTCGGTCAGTAAGTCAATGCCGAAGGCCTGGAGAAAGAGTTTGAAGTTTGCTTCGCTCACATCTGTCACCAGCACCGATGCGATGTGTATCAAGGCGAAGTGCATGAAGATGGCAAGACTGTACATCATGCCTAGGCGGCAAGGGTGTCATTACAACAACCTAGCAAAACAGTTTATTTAAACAATCAACCCAGAAAAGGGTACCACTGTGGGGATCTGAATCTAGATGGGGGCTCTTCGAATTTTAGGATCTCTGTCTAGGTTTATGTGCAATTCACGGTACAGTCTAAAAAGGAACTCAGGTTTCGGTTTTAGGCTTTAGGGATCCAAAACCCGAAGCCCTAAACCCTTAAACCCTTAAACCCTTAAACCCCTAAACCCGAAACCCTAAAACCTTAAACCCTAAAACCCTAAAACCCTAAAACCCTAAAACCCTAAACCCCTAAACCCTAAACCCTAAAACCCTAAAACCCTTAAACCAATAAACCCTTAAACCCTTAAACCCTTAAACCCTTAAACCCTTAAACCCTTAAACCCTTAAACCCTTAAACCCTTAAACCCTTAAACCCTAAAACCCTAACCCCTAAAACCCTAAAACCCTAAACCCAAAACCCTTAAACCCCTAAACCCTAAAACCCTAAACCCGAAACCCTAAAACCCTAAAAACCCTAAAAACCCTAAAAACCCTAAAAACCCTAAAAACCCTAAACTCGAAACCCTAAACCCTAAAACCCTAAAACCCTAAAACCCTAAAACCCTAAAACCCTAAAACCCTAAAACCCTAAAACCCTAAAACCCTAAAACCCTAAAAACCCTAAAAACCCTAACCCCTAAACCCTAAACCCTTAAACCCTTAAACCCCTAAACCCTAAAACCCTAAAACCCTGAACCCGAAACCCTAAAACCCTGAAACCCTGAAACCCTAAAACCCTAAACCCTAAACCCGAAACCCTAAAACCCTGAAACCCTAAACCCTAAACCCTAAACCCTAAAACCCTAAAACCCTAAAACCCTAAAACCCTAAAAACCCTGAACCCTGAAACCCTAAACCCATGCAGAGAGCTGCCCAGGCGCTAAAGACCAAGCAGGCAAACTTGATGGGGGACTGCGGCATCCTCGCTTGCCGGACAGTCAGAGAAGAGGCGTCAAACCAAAGCGGTGGCAGGATTTAGGGTGTAGGGTTTAGGGTTTAGGGCTAGGCTTCAGGGATTAGGGTTGAGATGTTCCCCCTCATACGAACAGTCCTTAATAGGGACGAGATTAGGGGGTACTTTACGATGCCCAGAACTGCTAAGTGCTTGAGAACCTGCCCCCCCTCCCCCCTCTCCCCCCCCCCCCCCCCCCCCCTCCGCCCCCCCCCTGCCCCCCAACCCTAAACCCTAAACCCTAAACCCCCAAAACAACCCCCAACCGCAAAGCAAGCAGCCCATCGGCATCCCACTTGAGCTCCACGCCGATGGACATCGACGTCGGCAGCACAGTGGCCAGCAGAAGCAGAGTCAGGATGTTGTAGCCTAGGGTTTAGGATGTTGTAGCCTAGGGTTTTAGGGTTTAGGGTTTAGGGTTTAGGGTTGTAGCCTAGATTGCCCAGTCACGGAGACTAGGGTTTAGGGTTGAGGGAGCCCAATTAAAAAGAATGAACAACGGTACTGCTTGGCATCTTCGTAGCTGTCCAGCTGCGTCATGAGGACCTGTCGCCGATGCTTTGGTGTGATTTGAAAAGCCCCGGGCAGCTCTACGAACACGCGCATGTACACACGCGCACACACGCATGCTCGCGCACTCTCACAAACAAACATTCAAACAAATGAACAAACAAACAATCAAGCAAACACATAAACAAACAAGCACAAACAGCAAACAAGCAAGCAAGCAAGCAAACAAACAAGCGAACACACACACACACACAAACACGCAAACAACAGCACTATGAAACCCTGTGAAGCCGAACCCACAGTGTAGCAAGAACAACTAACACAGCATCTGTCGCCAAGCAGTCATATAACTAGTGGTCAGAAAGCGGGGGTACTGCACGATGCCAGAAGGCTGGTGAGACGATTAAAAAAAAAGGGGACATGACATGATCTTCTTTTATAAAGAAGCAGCAAAACTCACCTCGCGGATGGCGTCTGGGGGCCGGCCGGACATCACCAGGTGCTCGAACCAGGTCTTCCGGTGGTCCGCCCAGGTCAGGCCGTCCATCTTTGCCGCCTGTTTCACCTGAAGTTGTTGATCACCCCCCAAATGTTCGGGTGTTGGGCCGTATTTTGGATTTAAATACATGATTACAACCTAGTTATTTGTAGTTACTCGTGTCTCACTATATGATTTCAATATTACTACTAGAACTTTGATATCTTGTAGACAAATACGACCCAAGCCCTAACCCAATAAACTCAAGTCACCCGGCTCCAGGCCGACTTTGCTGTGGGCCTCGCCATGCCCGGCAGCGGCTGCCGCAGCTCCTGGTGTTTGGGGTTTAGGGTTTAGGGTTTAAGTTTAGGGCTTAGGGCTTAGGGCTTAGGAGCTGGGATGTTCCCCCCTTATACTACAAGTCCTAAATTGGAATTATAGTACCCCCCCCCTATTATAATCCCTATTAAGGACCGTTCGAAGGGGGAGGATTTTGGGTATAGGAAATGCAGCATCTGCAAGACTTAGGGTTGCCGCTTTTGGATTTGAGGGTTGCTTCAGGGGTTTTTAGGGCTTGGAGGTTTTCATCGCCATGATCCGAAGGAAACTAGCCAACACGCAGAGCAGGTGGACTCCCGCACAAAAGCTCTAAACCACCCTTCTAAGCCCTAGAATCTAAGCCCTTTCGACCCTACAATCGACACCTGCAGACCCCTCTAGGATCCTTAACCCTAAGCCCTAAACCCTCAACCCTAAGGTCCATACCCCTAAACCCTAAACCCTAAACCCTTAACCCTAAACCCTTAAACCCTTAAACCCTTAAACCCTTAAACCCTAAAACCCGTAAACCCTAAGGGCCCTTCTTCGGCTCCTGCCAGCAGGGGCCCGATGAGGTCTCGACCTGCAGCTCCGCCAGGAGGCCCAGCACGCGCGCCCGCGCCAGGGGGCTGGTCAGCCCCAACTCCTGAGGTAGGGTTTAGGGTTTAGGGTTTAGGGTTTAGGGTTTAGGGTTTAGGGTTTAGGGTTTAGGGTTTAGGGCTTAGGGTTCAGGATTTCGGGCTTAGCGGCTTGAGGGTCTTAAGGGTTTAGGGCTCGGGGGCTTCAAGGTCTGCAGGGTTTAGGGTTTACGTTTAGGGGCTGAAGTTAGGGGGTCCGTAGGATTTAGGGTTCGGGCTCTTAGGGGGTCTTAAGGCCTAGACGGCTTTTTGCTTAGAGTCTAGGGTCCCGGGGTCTTTTAAAGAGCATCTTATCAGGGTCTTTTTTGCCTTTCGGGAACTTTAGGGGTCTTGCATGAGCGTCTTTAGTTTAAAGGGTCTACAGGCTTTAGGATCTTTTCTATAGGGCTTCGGGGGGATAGAGCCTAAAGCCCTTCTCCTGCAGCCCGTCGTGGCCCAAAAAGGCCAGGGAAGAGCCGCGGAGCCCGTTGCGCCGCGCGATCGCGCCGGCATCCGCGTGGCCAATGGTCACCTCGAAATTCTCAGCGCGGCTTCGTGGGCAACTAGGGTGTCTCCAGAGGGTCCTAAACCCTAAACCCTCAACCCTAAACCCTAAACCCCGAGCCCTAACTAAAGGGCAGCAAATGCCTTGAAACAATATACCAATAAACCAGCAAACCCTCAGTCCCCTAAACTCTGCAGCTCGGGCGCCAGCCACTGCTCCACCACTTCAGGCGTCCACGAGTGCAGCCGCGACGTCTCCTGTCAGGGTTAGGGGCTTAGGGGGGTTTCGGGGGTTGGGGGTTTGAGGGTTCCTTGAAAACCTGCATCTTGGTGGGTTATGGGTTTATAATTTAGGGTGTAGGGTTTAGGGGGTTGGGGGTGTTAGGGCTCCTTCGAAACCTGCATCTCGGTGGGTTATAGGTTGAAACAAAACTCGTGGGGGTTTTCAGGTCGCCCTGACAAAAGAGGAGATTACCCCTCAAATCCTAAACCCTAAACTCGAAAAAGCTCCTAAAACCTGCCCCAATTGCCTCAAGTCCTACTCCCACTCCTCTTGAAGCCCTAATCCCTAAACCCTGGAACCCTAAAACCCTAAAACCCTAATGCACTAAAACCCAAGTTAAAAACCCTAAAACCCTAATTCCTACACCCTAAAACGCTAAAGCCCTAAACTATTCCCTCCGCAGTCCTCGGATGGGGAGTTCGCGCGGAGCCGGGCCCTTTGCAGACCCCGCCGCCGCCGATGAATCTTGTGGGCTGCCTCCGGTGAAGTCTAGGGTGTTTAGGCCCTTTAGGGAGCCCGAAACCCTAAACTAAACCCTAAACCCTAAACCCGAAACCCTAGTTAGGGTGAAATTTAGGGCTGGCAGGGTCGAGGTCTTTTAGCGCTTTGTCAGGGCTTAGGGCTTCACGCAACTCAGACATAAGTGGGTGATAAAATGCGTAGGGTTTAGGGAACAAACTGTCGACATCGGGACAGGACCTGACCTCAAAAGGTTCTGGCATCGGCGCGGGTACAAGTCCTAAACCCTGCAAGCCCTAAACCCCAAATATAGGGGCCTGAATGATTGGAATCGGGTTGTTTGAACCAGAAGGGTATGTACTATTAGTAGTAATGAAGGGCCCCTATATTCAGCCCCTAAAAGCCCAACATTGGTGTAGCTCAGGAGGCGGAGCTCGTTCCCAGCATGCCTTGCAGGACACGGACGGCGTTTGCGACACTGTCGCTGACTTGCACGTGAGGCCGCCTTCTTGAGGAACAGCTGTGCCAGCCCAGCCTGCCGCGCTCAAGCTCAACAGTCGAAGCCCACGTGGTCAGATGCACTTCTTGCCACTGCGCTGCCCTCCTGGCGTACTAAGCGTGGTACCACGACCCTAAACCCAAAATCCTACAGCTCTCAAAAACCCTAAAAAAAACAAAACCAATTCAAATCAGAACCTTAAAAACACCCTAAGCACTCCACAAAAGCCTAAAAGAAAACCTTAAAACCCTAAACCCGAAACCAAATGAATGAGAGACCAACTTCATCGATCAACTCTATGGCCTAGTAGCCACCTTTCATGGCGTCGTCCTGACCTACTGGTTCTTAGTAGGGAATGAGGGAATTAGGCACCTTGTATCCCCCTTAAACCCTGAACCCTAAACCCTAAACCTTGAGTACCTGCAATTCCCTCATTCCCTGCTGAGAACCAGTAGGTTGATGCTGCCGTCCTTCAGTCACTCTGGTAGAGGCCCTTGTAGCCTCCCGTTTGCAAAGTAGGTAGTACGAGTTTAGGGTTTAGGGTATAGGGTTCAGGGTTTGGGGAAGAGGGTTTAGGGTCTGCCGCCGCCCTAAGTCACCAAAGCAAAACTTTGAAACCTGGCCCGTCAGAAGCTCCCGGTCTTTCAAGCCTCTCATTGCAATAAAGTTGCTTAGGGAGGAGGGGCGGGGGGTTGTGTAAGCAACCCCCTAACCCTAAACCCTAAACCCTAACCCCTAATCCCTAACCCCTAAACCCTAAACCCTAAACCCTAAACCCTAAACCTAACCCTAAACCCCAAACCCTAGACCCTAAACCCTGAACCCTAAACCCCCAAACCTAAACCACACACGCCAAAAGCCGATAACCCCTCTCTCCCGCACCTCGATGACGGTGACGCGGCCCGACATCGCCACGGCATGCGCAGCAGGGTTTACGCTGTGTATACGGTTTAGGGTTTAGGGTTTTGGGCTAGGGTTTAGGGTTTAGGGATTAGGGTCTAGGGTTTATGTTTAGGGTTTAGGGTTTAGGGCTTAGGGTTTAGGGTTTCGGGTTTGGGGTTTGAAGGGTTTAGGGCCAGGGAGTGTAGGGCTTACTGGCTTCAGGGTATGGGCTGAAGGTGTTGCCCTCTGGGGCTTTCCTAGCTACGCATCTACGGCTTGGTCATCGGGCTGCGGGGTTTACGGCTACCGGTTTCCGGAGAGACAAGGTTCAGGGTTTAGGGTTTAGGGTTTAGGGTTTAGGGTTAGGGTTTAGGGTTTAGGGTTTAGGGTTTAGGGTTGAGGGTTTTGGGTTTTGGGTTTAGGGCAACTAGGCTACCGTGATCGTGAAAGGCCTCGGGCAGTAAGCTTCGCTGGCTAGCGAATTAGGGTGTGGGGTTCGCCCTGCATAAGCCACACAGTTGCGTTCTTTCCGCGCTTGAGCTGAGAAGGGGCCTTGCCAGAACCGTGGGTATCGGTTGAGGGCCTACAGTAGGGTGTGGGTTTTTGAGCCCTGAACACCCAAAACGCTACACCTCTAAAACCCCTGAACCCCTAAACCTTAATCCTAACAACCCTAACCCCAAAACCCCAAACCCTAAACAACTAAACACCTAAACCCCTAAACGCCTACATGCCTGAACCCCTAAACCCCTAAGGCAAGGCACTGCGAGGGCCATAATGCTGAAACGCGTGACGAGAGGCCCAGCCCATCGTCCCACTTCTCGCTTTTCACCTCTTGAACGGCTTTTAGGGCTGAGGGCGTTCGAGCTGTGGGGTTGGAGGGTTTAGGCTTTGGGACAAAACCCTGAACCCTAAACCCCCAGGGTTCACGTCCCCCTCCTCTCCCCACTCTCTCACCCAAACGTAAACACGGCCCAAGGCATTGGGGTTTTTAATCAGGGTCTACGGTTATGGTTTAGGGTTTAGAGCTTTAGGGCTTTGGGGTTCTGGGCTAAGGGCGCAGTTGTTATGTTTTGACGGAGCCCAGCCATAATGATGAGAACTGGCGATGCCCCAGACCCTAGACGCCGAACTACTGACTGAGTCTTTCATAAACCCTCACCGACATACACGCTGAACCCTAAACCCTAAAGCCTTAACCCCAAAACCCTGAGACTCTCAACCTCAAGCCCCAAACGCTGAACCCCTAAAGCCTAAACCCCTAAACGTTGGCCTTTGAGGGTTTAGGGTTTAGGGCTGAGGGCTTAGGGCTTTGGGTGCAAGCGCATCTGAGGCCTAAGGTCAAGGACGGGCTTCAACACCAGGCTTTAGGGTTTAGGGCTTTCGGGTTTAGGGTTTAGGGTTTAGGGGGCACACATTAAGCACCGAGAAGCCAAACACCTCCCGATCCTGCCTCGTAGTAGCCCTTCGCACACTCGGGCACGCACTTGAAGTCCTGACAGCAGCAATCCCTAAACGCTAAACCCTAAACCCTAAACCCTAACCCTAAACCCTAAACCCTAAACCCTAAACCCTACACCCTACACCGTACAAAAAAGGCTCTCAGACCGTGGCTTCAAGTTAAGGTCAGCACCTCCAGATGTGACAGGAAGCTTCGCGGCTTGGTAGCCATTGGTAGCCCAGCAACCATATTATAATAAGCGCACCTTTCTTGGGGCTGGTTCTTGCTTTACAAGGGAACCCATAACCAAATCACAAGGGTAACGGGAACCACTGCCCTAACCCGAACCCTAAACCCCAAACCCTCAACCCTCAACCCTCAATCCTCAATCCTAAACCCTAAACCCTAAACCCTGAACGCCGAACCCTGAACCCTAAACCCTAAACACTAACGGAAACGTTGTTGGGCCCCCCACGTGCGTGAGGTAGTGCTGGTTCTTGCACTCCAGGCATGTCGTGGCATTCACGCAGGTGTTGCCTCAGGAGGTCTACTCTCAAGGGGTTCAGCTTAGGGTTCATGATTTACGGTTTAGGGTTTGGGGTTTGGGGTTTAGGGTTGGGGTTTAGGGTTTAGGGTTTAGGTTTTAAGGGATGTTTGTTCCAAGGATGAAGACTCGTACCCCTAAGGCTGTACCCCTATAGGTTCCCCTGAACATGCTCCCAATCTGGCCCTTGTACTACGTCAGGAATCTGTAACAAGGGTCCCCCAAACCCAAAGGTAGAACCTCAGGGCTCCAAAGGAAAGTCCCTTGATACTCTCGGAATGCCGCAGCTACCCAAAAGGGCCCTAACACCCTAATACCCTACTTGAATAGGTACAGCTGCGTAGAACCTTACCTGCGGGGCAACGTGTCACCCTGCTTATACCTAAGCATGAGTCTGCCACCCAACCCTAATTACTTCTGAGGGCAGCGCCAAGACTGGACAGAAGAGAGAGAGACGCCATGAACAGTAGCGGCCATCATACCACCACACCAGTAAACCCCAAGCTCCGCATACAACATCCCTTAAAACCCTAAGCCCCCCCCGGGACCCGGGGGCCCGGGGTCCTATGAGTAGCCCCTGAGCGTCTTAAACCCTGAACCCTAAAACCCTGAACCCTCAACCCTCACAAAACCCACCCTTAAGGGTTTTTGGCGTTTAATAACCTTGAGCCCTGAACCCTCAACCCGCAACCCGAAACCCAGCCTGAAACCCCCCAAAACCCGAAGGATCGCCCTGAAACCCCCCAAAACCCGAAGGATCGCGGCCTTCACTCGTAGAAACTGCAGCTTCGAGGCTTGTTTTGGTAGCCCAGCAACCATGTTAGAATAGGGTTTAGGGTTTAGGTTTTAGGGTTTAGGGTTTAGGGTTTAGGGTTTAGGGCTTAGGGTTTAGGGTTTAGGAGAACAACAAAGGGGCAAAAGGGTACCACTGGGCTGCGAAGTTCAGGGTCACCTACGGTTTGGCGGGGCTTTTCGACATGGATGCTCAAGGATTTAGGGCGTTCGGGGCTTTCAACACTACTCGCGCCAGCTCTCAGAGTCAGCTTTAGAGTTCGGGCAACCCCAAGTTAGACATGTCCTTACTTACCTATTACTTGCTTAAGAACCCCACCCCCAAAAAAGTGTACCTAATGGTTGTCTGGGGGGGGGGGTTCTTCAGCAAATGGCAGATAGAACATGTAACCCGACCACTTAAGCTCCTCGAGTCTCCACGTCGGTTGTGGGAGGCCTGTACCCTGATCCCTAAAACGAGCCTTGCGTAGATATGGGGTATCCGAATTCGGGGTGCCTTCTATTTGGGGCCTTCATTTAGGGGTCTCTTAATTTTCGTAAACCCCCATAAACCCTAAACCCTAAACCCTAAACCCTAAACCCTAAACCTTATAAGGCCCAGGTGGCAGTTCTCATGGCACTGGGTGCAGTAGCCACCTGAGACTCGCGGGACCCGGAACCCCCCGAGAGCCCTGCAGCCCTCAGCCCTTACAGGGGTTTAGGGTTTAGGGTTTAGGGTTTAGGGTTTAGGGTTTAGGGTTTAGGGTTTAGGGTGACCCAAGAGTAGCCGAGGAATAAAAGGGTGCCCTTTTGGTTTAAAGGGGTTCAAGGGAACCCAAAATCCAAAAGAAAGAATAAGGGCCTACGCTGGGTCCTAGCACCTAAAGTCGAAAAGCCCCTGTAAAGCCCCGCGACGCAAACCCGAAATGCAAGCCGTTAAAACCCAAAAACCTCCCGAAAGCACCGAGAAGCCCACCATCACAACCAACCCTCAACCTAAAGCCCCCTTAAACCCTACACCCGAAACCCTAAACCCCGAAACCCCTAAACAAACCAAATTATCGTGAAGGTACCCTCCTTGGTTTAGGGTGTAGGGTTTAGGGTTTAGAGTTTAGGGTTTAAGGTTCGTGTTCACAAAAGGGTTTAGAGTTTAGTTTAGAGTTTAGCGTTTAAGGTTCGTGTTCACAAAAAGGGACCCTGAGATCCCCCAAAAAAAGGCCAAAGAGGCCACAGCCCAGCTCTCGGTCTTCTCCGTCACTTGTCCATTGTTGAAAGGCTCTGGTGCACGATAGCTACCCACATACGGGTGCACATCTGTGGCCTGCTCCCCACTTGATCTTCTTGCGAGGGCGAATCGTCCCACCTTCGCCTCGTGGCTGTAGCAGTTCCAGTACACTGCCTTGAGCCTGACGTCGCCGAGGAACAAACCAGTCGCCTGCAATCGCAGCAGTGCATGGCACAGATGTTTGCCCAAGGCCCTCAAGCGCTCTCCGCTAAAGGGCTCCTCTGGCATCACTGCGGCCACAGTGGGCAGAGCTTCATATAATCATGGCTTTCAACAGGGTCTGCACGGTAAGCCTTAAACCCTACAGGGCTACCAAGAAGGTTCAGGCTTTAGAAGCGAAGCCCAAAAGCCGGGGTTATTTTATAAGGTCAAAGTGTGTGTAGAGTCCAGGGCAAGGTGTGCTCATAGGGTTTATAGGGTTCATAGGGTTCATAGAATTCACAGGTCCCCAGTCCAGTTGCATGGGCGCTCGAGGCTTCGCCCGAGTCCCTCGGCCGAGCGTCTGGACAGAACGGTGAGGGAGGGTAAAGCCTCCCGGGCGGCGGGGCCTCAGTGACGACTGGCCGCGCCTCAGACACTAGGAAATGCCCCAGGCTGCGGCTGGCAGATTCCAGGCTCCCCCCCCGTCTGGGCCAGACCAGGCAAAACCCTGCACGTTTGCCAAAAAATGTCCCAAACCCGATTACACATGGATGGGACCCTGAAACCTTGCCTGCAAAATGCCCGGCCTAGGCGCTACCCCATCCAATTTTGCTGCCCGCCTATGTGGGGCCTGTCGAGCCACCCCCTAAGGCTTCATTCATGACACCCCAAAGATCCAGGATTTGCCCGACCCACAATGAAAATGCGGGTTTTGTAGTATTGAAATCGACGGTTTGCGGGCTCCTCTTTTAGGCCGCGAAAGCTTCAAAAAACCCCGAGCCACCAACGGGCTCCAGAAGGCTCCAGGAGGCTTTTGGGGCCCCCTGCAGCAGAAACTCTTCTTGAACAAGCACACTTTACTTAAACACCAAATTGTTCAAATGCTCCATTTACTTCTCTTAGAGTTCGGAAGGAAGGAAGGAGCAAGAAAGCCCCTCTTGGAGGCGGGGTGAACCGTAAACCCTAAATGAGAATAGTTTGGCTGGTTGGGGTGGGACTACATGATACTACATGCTAACGCAAGCGAGCGGCCTGGGTGCCTTTAGCGCCAGCGAGCTTCCCTTCTACACACCCTAAACCCTGAACCCTGAACCCTAAACCCGACGTGCTCACCCATCTCCACAAGTTCCGAGCTATCATATGGGAAGTTGGTAAGTAAGGAAGAGGTTCTCAAGCTGGTTCGGAAAAGGTGCTGAGTTAGGTAGGGTGACGGGGCAAGGGCTTTCGAGACCCACAGGACACACGCGAACAAACGGACCTCCCTCCAAAACCCCTCGAAATCCTCAAGCCGAACATCCTTGAGCCCGCTTCTAAACCCTAAACCCTAAAGCCTAAACCGTGAACCCTGAACCCTAAACCCTAAACCCTAAACCCCGCCCACCTACGCCGTACCAGCCATCGGTTGGGTAGTCCCCGTGCGGGCAGTCAGGGCTGCACTCGTGCGTTCCTGGGATGCCGAGTTGATTTCTTCAGGGGAGTTTAGGATTTAGGGTTTAGGGTTTAGGGGCTTAAGGTAAGGCATCCAATCTCTACACCCAATAAACCCTAAACCCTCTGAAAAGTGGGTTTTGCGTGTGTGTGGTTGGGTTGGGAGCCCAGAATTTTCAGGACTTGGGGTTTAGGGCTTACGTCACCTAGACCCCATGCAACTCTTTAAACACTGGCTCAACAGCCAGTGGCCCTGCCTCGCCATCAATACCTGGAAGAATAGCCCCCTAAAAACCCAAAAATCAAAACCCTAAACCAGTTCAGACGCTGGGCGACCCATCTCAAGGGACCGAGAGCATGCCATTTCACTGCACTAGAGTTGGAGACCCCGAACCCCCAGCCTTATAAACCAAGGGAGCCTCTTGTTTGAGAATAGGCGCACAGTGGGCATCGCTGGGGCCCGAGACCCAAACCCTAAAGGGTTTAGGGTGTAGGGCTTAGGGTTTAGGATTTAGGGTGTAGGGTTTAGGGTTTACTCCGAAAAGGAGCTGCAAACGATGCATCGTCACTGTCGCCAGGCTTCGCGTCAGGTACATGTCATTCTTGCACTCGAGCGCGATCGAGCCATTGACGCACCTGGTGTCACACCCCGAACCTTCCCCCTTGTTAGGTTTAGGGTTCAGGGTTTCGGGTTTAGGAATGTTTTGCTTTTTTTCCCCATCCCTCCCCCCCCCGGCCGCGCAATCCCCGTCCCTAGCATACACAGCCATCCCTGATGCAAATCCTTCTTGCTCCGACCCAAATTAAGCCTTAAGAAACCCATGGCTGTGAACTCCAATAATTGAGCCACTTGAATATATCCTGTCCCTCTCCGAAGCACGAAGCCAACACCCAAAACCCAAACCCAAACCCCCCCCAACACCCACCCCCTCCCCGCAACAAAAAACCAAGAAGCCTGCTCGCGTGCCCAGGACAAAGGATGCAGGTACCGCCGACACCATCCTGGGGCAGGGTTTAGTGGCTTGGGTTGAGGTGCTCTGAACCCTGGACTCTAAGTAAAACAACCCGCAAACCCTAAAATCCCAGAAGCTGTACAACACCTCATATACCCTATAGCGCCAGAAGCCTTAGAAATTCCCATAAACCCTACGAACCCACAAACCCTACAAACCCAATGAACCCTGGAAAACCCTCGAAAGCCCTAATGTACGCTTGCTTAGAGGCTACCCTACATGTAACTACCCATGAACCTTCAAGTAGCTCTCAACCCTAAACCCTAAACCCTGCAGTAAACCCTAAGCCCTAAACCCTAAACCCTGCAGGAGATGGGTTTTAGAGTTCAGGGTCTGGCCGAGGGGTTCAAGGGCATGACATTTGATTTCAAAAACCTACCAAGAGTCCATCACACGGATACTTAAGCCTAGGGTTTAGGGTTAAGGGTTTATGGTTTAGGGTTTAGGGTTTGGGGTTTGGGGTTTAGGGTTCAGGGTTTAGGGTTCAGGGTTTAGGGCTTGGGGTTTTGGTTTGGAGTTTCTAGGCCCATCGCTGAACGTAGTGATTGCAGGATGCTCTGTGTAGGGCTTTGGGGGGTTTAGGGCTCAGAAGTGTTGAGAGAGAGTGCCCCAGCCTAACAGGGTTTAGGGTTTAGTATACTAGGGCCTGAATAGCTAGAATAGGGTTTTGGGCGTTATTGTAGTATACTTATAACGACCATTAGTAATTATTCGACCCCTATATTACGCCCTACAAAATTGCGGCCCAAGCCAAGCGCACGTTAACTTGGGGTTCTTTCTGGCCTGGTTGTGGGCACGGGGTAGGTCGGGTAGGGCTTGGAGTTGGGAGTTCCCAAACTTGGAGGCTCATGGTACTCGGAGCCCAATAAGAACTGTACTTAGAACCCACTTATGTGCCCAAAAATGGCTATCACTGAGCTAGAAGTACAGTTGTAACTGGGCTAATGAGTACATGAGCCTCCAAGTAGAAACCTCAAAGCTCCCAACCCCTGCGCCCGAAACCCTAAACCCCAAGCCGAAACTCGAACCCCTGAGCCCTAAACCCTAAACCCCAAGCTCCAAGCTGCTTGAACCCTAAACCCTAAACCCACGGCCCTAAGCCCTAAACCCTACACCCCAAGCTCCAAGCTGCTTAAGGCCCCCAAACCCCCCCCCCCTCCCCCTCTCCTGCGGGGGAAGGCAGCCAGTCTGCACTTGCTCCACGAAGGCCCCCTCAGATCCGAGCTAACCCTAAACCCTAAACCCTAAACCCTACTTGCAGGTTCATGGGTGGTACCCTACAAAAGGTTACAACCATGCAGATATAAGTTTCGCTACCCTCGTATAACCCCACTTATAACTACCCAGGAAAATTCTAAACCCTAATCCCTAAACCCCAAACCCTAAATCCTACATTACAAAATAGGATCATGACGGCTTGAGCAAACCGCTGTCGGCTTAAGGGCTTAGGGCCTGATGGGGTCCTACAGTTGTGATCCTAAACCCTAAACCCTAAACCCTAAACCCTAAACCCTAACCCCAGGACCGGCTTAGGAGGCCGCAGGGAAACTCTGAGGCCCTAGAGGTTTTGGTGGGTGGGTGTAGGGTTTAGGGTTTTTAGGGTTTTTAGGGTGTTTTTTGGGTTTTAGGGCTTTTAGGGTTTGGTGGGTTTTGTGGGAGCACAGCGCAGAGGTCATCTGTTGATGGTTGGGATTGGCAGCGCGAGCTTGATCAGTGTGGAGGATTTCTGCCAATGCCGCGTTGTTGGCAAGCTGCGGCGCTTTCTCGAGCAGAGCTAGCGACGCGGTTCGAACTGCCCAGTGAAGCGGATTCATCCCGTTGGGGTCAGCCATGTTGGCCAGCGCAGCCTAGGGTTTTTAGGCTTGAGACCACACCCTTAGGCCAGGGATGCAGGTGGTTTGCGTTTTGGGGCGGTTTGGGACTTGCCTGAAGCCTCTTGAACCCTAAACCCTAAACCCTAAGACCTAAACCCTAAACCCTCAATCCTGACTCGTGGTGGCCACGCACTGGGAAGCGACACCCTGCCAGCTGATATGTCCGGATTTGCCGTCGGGTTCGTGAACTCGCCCTAAACCGGCCTAAACCGCCCTAAACCGCCCTAAACCCTAAACCCTAAACCCCAAACCCTAAACCCTAAACCCTATGCAGAGTGATTGGCACACATGCTGCAGTACGGCGGGACCAGTCCTGAGCCAACATTCCGTGCAGTCGCATCCGTCGCGCCCTAGAAACCCTGGGCACGAAACCTTGCAGTCCTCAACCCTAAGACCCCGAACCCTAAACCCTAAACCCTGAACCCTAGGGTTTAGGGTTTAGGGTCTAGGGTTTAGGGTTTAGGGTGAAACCTAAAGACCTGGTAAACTCACCAAGCCGGAGCTCAGCAGCCAGAAGCAGTGAAGAGCCCTGAGGGTTCATGGTTTAGGGTATAGGGCTTGGGGTTTAGGGTTTGGGGTTGAGGGTTTCGGGGTTTAGGTGGTTTAGGGTTTAGGGCTAGGGTTTAGGGCTTGGGGTTGCGGCTTCGGGTGGGTGGAAGAGCTTAAGAGATCTCCATTTGCAGACCCAGGAGCCGGCTCGTTGGAGCCCGTGTCCCCAAACCTGCTGCCGCGCTGTACTTGGAGGTTCATGGTACGTAGTACGATATATGTATATATATATATATATATTGATTTATGTATTATTTATTTATTTATTTCTATATATATATATATGTTATGACTGTACCTATAACCCAAATAGAAGCATAATAGGGCACTTAAGGGGCTTATAAGTGGGTTGTAAGCACAGCAACGAATTGGGCTAGAAGTTCCGTGAACCTCCAAGTAGCCGCTGGGGTTAAGCACTTGAGGTTTAGGGCATGAGGCGCCTGGATTCAGGGTGTCAGGGTACTCCCTAAGCCCTGAAGCCCTAACCCCTGACCCTAAACCCTAAACCCTAAACCCCTAAACCCTACTGCTAGGCTTGTCAGCTACTACTCTAAGGCGTACTGCTAGGCTTGTCAGCTACTATAGGGCAACAAAGTTGAAGCTGGCACATGAGCTTACTTACTGCTCCAATGGCTGCTCCAAGAGCCAAGGAATAAGAGGGTTTGCAAGAGAAGGTTGAAACCTCAAAAGTTTCGGTTCAACTTCTAGGGTTTAGGGTTTAGGGTTCTTGGCGAAGTAAGTGAACACTCCAATCCATGGGAGCTTTCCAACTGCCTGATGTGTGCGTAGATAAAACCCAAGGCAAAGATCTGATTGGTAATGTTGGTTCCATGGCGGGGTACTGAGCATTCCCAAAACAAGGGATCTGCTTATATACCACAAAACAATCTAGTGCTGATTGTAGGACACCCCCCCCCCCCCACCTCTCCGCGAACAAGTGTCACCACCCCCACCCCACCCCCCCCCCACCCCCTTTCTCGGAAACATTCTACCATTCCCAACCCTAAACCGTAAACCCCTAAACCCCTCAATCCTAAACACTACCCATAGAACCCGCAGCACTAGTTTGGCTTTAGGGTTTACTTTTTAGGGTTAGGGCTTGGAGGGGTGGGCGGGGGGTAGGGTTTGGGGAGAGGCCATACAAAACGCTTGTACCGGGCGGCCAGATCAGGGCGAACCAGCCGTGGAGAGACGTGCTCGAGCCCAGGTCGTAGGCGTGGATGGCAGCTCCATTCCTTGGTAGCTCATTTAGGGTTTAGGGTTTAGGGTTTAGGGTGTAGGGTGTAGGGTGTAGGGTGTAGGGTTTAGGGTTCAGATTTAGGGCAACCATAAAAGGGTTTAGTGCTTGGGGTTTAAGGTTTCGGGCTTAGGGTACCGTATAAGGGAACCCAGAACAAAAAAGGGAATACAAAAGTACGAAAACGTTCTTAATTTAATTTACTATTCCGTGTGAGTTATCTCTTATTAATAAATGTTTTAATACTTAACTTATCACATGTGCTAATAAATATTTTGCACTGGTTGAAGTTGATGCATTTACAATTACAACATTTGTCTTTTCTGTTATTATTCTTGCTAAAAACCATTGCTTTTCTATAATAATGTGAATAATCTGATAAAAACTCTTTCCATACCTATTCTTTTCCAGAATTTACGCTCAGCTGCTAGTAATAATGCTTCTTGTCGTGCCATACGCGGCTTTCAATACTTTCATCACTACCACTACCATTGCTACTCCCCCCAACCCTAAACCCTAAAGTGGGCTACCAAGATTCTTGAAGATGATGAGCTCCTTTCCTGGCCAAGCTGCTGGAGCGGATTTGGGGGGGATTAAGACTAGGGTTTGGGGTTTACGGTTTGGGGTTTCGGGCTCAGGGCCCTCAATCGTAAGCCTCCCATGACTCTAAGCCCCAAATCCACAAGCGGCAGAAAGAGGCTCGTTGAGAAGTTGGGCTCCAAAAGTTGTGATTCAAGGCTGGGGCTTAAGTTGGGGCTTTCAGGGTTCTCGGGTTCGGGGTTCAGATTTTGGGGTGGGCTTGGCGCCCATACATACACTGGAAGTCTCCACTCCAAACCTATATCCCGTGAACCTGTACACGCCATAGCCGACCCTAAACAACCCTCCCCGGCCCCCTAAACCCTAAACCCCAAACCCTAAACCCTAAGCCCCCTCCTAAAAAAAAACCCAACAAATCCCTTATAACCTCCTGAACACTCAAACTGGCCTTTCAGCTCCAGGCGGATGTAGTCCTCGGGCGTGTAGGTCATGGAGGCCTGCGCCCCATCCTGCGCAAGGTTGGAGCTTCTTTGGCTCGGGAAGGTTTCGGTTTTAGGGCTTAGGGCTTAGGGCTTCGGGCTTCGGGCTTCGGGCTTAGGGCTTAGGGCTTAGGGTTTAGGGTTTAGGGTTTACGGGAAGCTCGTCCTTCTTTTGAGTTGTGGGTTTAAGGTTTCAGGTTTAGGGTTTGTATATGACGCGGGGGCAAGTGTTACAACAAAGAGAGCCCCTCTTGTAATTCTTGTTGGGGAGGGGCGGGGGGGGGGGGGTGTATAGTACGGCACCTTACAAAAAGGACCCTAACAGGGACCCTAATTTGGAGAACTACCCCAAAACCCTAGTAAGGCATGAGGGAATGAGGTACCCTACATCCGGTGCCTGATTCCCCTAATTCCCACGAAGAACCAGGAGGAACCCTAAACCCTAAACCCTACACCCTACACCCTAAACCCTGAACCTTATACCCTAAACCTTAAACCCTAAACCCTAAACCCTAAACCCTCACCACTGCTGCAACGGCACGATGTTGATGGTCCCCTTGGAGGTGAGGTGGATGTACTTTCCATCCTGGTAGTCGCCTGGGCCGATGTAAGGTATTTCAGGGGTAGGGTTTAGGGTTTAGGGTTTAGGGTTTGGGGTTTAGGGTTTAGGGTTTAGGGTTTAGGGTTTAGAGTTTTGGGCTTTATGGTTCGGGACTACAGGGGCCTTCATAATTCGAATAGGGTTTGAGAATAAGTATAGTACAACTATAAACAGGCCATAAGTTCAGGATTTAGGGTTTAGGGCTCCTAAGGTTTGGGGTTTAGGGTTTAGGTCTTTCCCTCCTTTCCTTACCCCCCCAAAACGCGGGGGGGGGGGGGGGGGGGGGGGGTAGAGGCCACCCACACCGCGTAAACTCATGGAGCATAGGCGTTTTCGTACAGGGCAAAGGAGCTCTTTTTTCCAATTTTCCAAACCCCACTCCCACTACCCCCCTTACCCCCCCGTTACCCCCCCCCTTACCCCCCCGCTTACCCCACCACCCCCCCCCTTCCCCCCCCCCTTACCCCCCCCCACCCACCCGCCCACCCGCACCCCCCACCCCCCCCCCCCCCCCCACCCCCCCCCCCCACCCGCCCCCCCCCCCACCCCCCCACCCCCCCCCCCCCCCCCCCACCCCCCCCCCCCCCAACAGGAACCACAAACAAAATCACCCCAAACCTTAAACTTGTTCTCCTGCGGGGTCGGCGGCTTGAGCCGGAGGCTCTTAAATTTAGGGAGGCACTCCTCCAGGTCGCCATGCCCTGTCTGCCGTCACAAGAGCAGATTTGCGCTTCCGGCACCGAGCCGCCGCAGCTTTGAGCGCCCGCATTGTCCGGGGCTGGTACTTGGAGGTTCATGGTACTTATAACCAACAATCACTGTACTTATAACCCAATCATAAGCCCCTTAAGTGCCTCAAATGGCTATAAGCACAGTTCTAGTTAGGCTACTAAGTACCATGAGCCTCCAAGTAGTTGATCTCTTCCTCTCTTGCGGGGGTGCCGCGGAGGTCTGAACTTGCTTTAAAGCAGGCGGAGCAGCCTCCATTTAGGCCACTGATCAAGTCGGCTTCCATTGGAGACATCTTGGCAAATGTCAGCTTCCCCCGAGTGCCGGAAAACCGTTTTGTTACAAGCCCTGAAAACTCCCAAACAAATCTTCCCCCACGCCAAAGCCCAACTGAAACCCAAATCAGCGGTTTAACGTTGTTGCTTGCAAGAGCCTAAACTCCTAAACCCGAAACCCCTAAAGCCCCAAACTTTCCCGCGCCCGAGGCCAGGCGCGTTCGTCGGCCGGATCTGTTGTGAGACCCACCCACACGGGGCGGTCGTCCTGGAGGGCTTTTTGAGGGTTTGGGGGTTGTGAGGTTAAGGGGTTGGGGGGCAGGGGGGGTGGGGGGGGTAGGTTTCAGGTTTAGGGGTTTAGGGTTCAGGTTGAGGCTTTGTGCAAGGTATCTGGTTGTTGCTCTGGTTAGGGCCTCTTTTGTGTTCCATTCTTTATACGGTACAAGCTTGTCGGTCCTTCTTTCGCGTTCGGGCTCGCGGCTGCCAGCAGGTTGTATCAGGCAGCACTTTAAATAACCAACCCTATGCCCGTGAAGACTACCGCTAACACTAAACCCCTAAACCCTCAACCATAAACCCCTAAACCCGAAACATCTCAACCCCAAAGCCCTAAGCTCTCGATAAACAAATGGAGTCCTGGCCAGGCTTGAAGGCCACGGAGGTCACGGGACCGGCTAGCGCGAAGGAAGAGCCTCCCTCCTGGTGGGTTTAAGGCTTCGTGGATTTAGGGTATAGGGCTTTAGGGCTTGTAGGGTTCGTGCCTCTTTGGCGCTTGAGGTTTACACTACTGTGTGTGCATTTTAGGGTTTAGGGCGTATGTTGCACCCCTAAACCCCTAAACCCCTAACCCCTAAACCCCTGACCCCGCAAACCCCGAAACTTTGGGGCTTTTGGGGTTTGGGTTTTTTTGGGGGCTTCGGGTTGGGGGCGTAGAGAGTTTGCTCTGAGCTTCCTGGGCTTCCTGCAGCAAGCTGCTGTCGTCTCTGCCTCCAACCCTAAACCCCAAACCCTGAATCCTAAATCCTAAGTCCTAAGCCCTACAGTACTTGGAGGTTCATGGTACTGATAACCCAATGATAGCTGTACTTATAACCCCACTTAGAAGCCCCTCAAGTGCCCTACTGTGTTTATGGTTGGGTTTTAAGTACCATGAACCTCCAAGTAAGCCCTGAACCCAAAGTCTCGTCGCCTGTGGACTGCTCTTGGAGAGGTCTGGAGGGCTCTTGGGCTGGTCGTGAAGCCCTGAACCCTAAACCCTAAACCCTAAAACCCCGAAACCCTAGCTAGACGGTCCAACCTGCAAACCATAAACCACCTAAGCCATAACCCCAAAAAATCTAAACCCTTGAACCATAGACCCCTTAGCCCTAGACCCCTAAACTCTAAACCCCTAAGCCTAAACCCCCAAACCCCTACACCCCTAAACCCCTAAACGCCTACTGTAAACCCCTAAACCAATACCCCCTAAACCCTGCATCGTCTGCAAACCGATCGGTCTTGTAGAGCTGCGTCTGCGTAATCCTGTCGCCTGTCGCCCTGCATCTTCTCTTTGTGCGAGCATCTCCCTAAACCCTGAACCCTAAACCCTGAACCCTGAACCCTAAAACAATACCAATCGCGGTCCGGACAACCAAACCTAGACGAACTGCGTTCCGCTGAGGCCACCGACTTCAAAAATCGATCGGGTTGTACATGGTGCGTGTCTTCCGGGTAACGGACTTCAAAGTGGCATTGACTGCAATAGTCCAGCCCATCATAGTTGAATGCCAGTGTCGCCCTCAAGCCTAAACCCTAAACCTTAAAAAACCCTAAACACCTACATCCGAAGCCCTAAACCCTTGCCCTAAACCCTAGCCCTAAACCCTAAACCCTCAACCCTAAACCCTAAACCGTCATCCTTGGGTGCTCTTGGAGTAACCATGGAGGATCTTACATTGTTTCGGTGCCCACACTGGCAGCATGATCGCCGTAATATCAGGCTGACTAGGGTTTAGGGTTGCGGGTTTAGGGTTTAAGGTTTTGGGCTTAGGGGAAATGATGATACTCCCCAAGCCCTACAGAAGCCCGCTAAACCCTCAACCCGAAAACGCCGCAAAGCCCCAAACCCTTCAGAACACCAAAGCCCTAAACCTATACATTGGTCCTTACTATCATCCCTAGTGAGGAGCTGTTAGCATAAGGGGAACATCCTTAAGCCTATCAACCAATTATAACTGTAGCTGTACTTATGGCCCACTTATAAGGCCCTTAACTCCCCTAATGTGGCTATCATTGGGTTGTAAATACACGTATCATTGGGTTATTAAGTACCTTGAACCTCCACATAACCCTAAACCCTAAACCCGAACACCCCAAACCCGAAAGCCGCAACGCGCGCCTGGTTCGCGGCCGCGAAGGTGTCGCCTGGAACGACGGAAACTTCTAACCCCAAAGCCCTGCAAACCCGCAGGGTTTAGGGTTTAGGGTTTCCCCCTTCTACTAACAGTCCGCGAAAGGGATATAGTACCCCCCCGCCCCCCATTCCAATTAATCCCTATTAAGGACTGTTAGTATAAGGGGGAACATCCCAGCCCACTTTTAACCCCAGAACCCTAATATAGGGGGCCTTAGTAATAAGAAGTAAAATCATAAAGGGACCCTAGGGGAATCTCATCAGAAATTGTTCTCCGACCTCCATACTATAAACCCCCAAACCCTAACTTGCGGAAGTCAGGCCTCTAGGGGGTTTCCAATTCGGTGACCAGACCCTGCAGCATCAAACCGGGACACGATGTTTCTGTTACTATACCAGCAAGCAACATGGTGTTTGAGTGAATCTGGGTGAGCACTGCTCCAATAATGATGCACGTGTGGATCCGGTAGAAGTGGACCTTGTTGAAGCCGCATCGGTCGTAGTCTTTGGCCAAGGTGAGATGGTCGCCATTTCGCCACAGGTCATGCATCCATTGCGGCACCTGGAGCTTTCCTTCGGCTTTAACTCGCAAAGTCTCCGGAGTTTCGCCTTCAAGCGGTTGTTGTTCTTTGTGAGCGCTTCCGGATCTTGCGCCGTGTCCTAACACGTACTAACATGACCAACTGGAACCGCAACCGGAAAAAAAAACCTACAAGCCGAGGGCTTAGGGTTTAGGCTTAGGGTTTAGGGTAACCTCCAACAGGCACTAAGACACTAAGCACCTTTAAGCCCCGTCTAGAGACATGCTAAATTTAACGCTCGAAATCCTGGAAGGCATTGCTGACAAGAAAAGGACATCGTAAACTTGAAGTCTGGACGGGTCCCACAATAAAGTTTATTGAGCCCTAAACCCTAAACCCTAAACCCTAAACCCTAAACCCTAAACCCTAAATCCTAAACCCTAAACCCTAAACCCTAAATTGAACTGCTGCAGCCATCCAACCATCCTCAAACGGTTCAAGCTCTTAACCGCAAACCCTGAACACCAAACCCCAAACCCTAAACCCTAAGCCGTAAACCCTCATTGCCAAAGCTTAAGCCCCAGCCCCAAACCCCAAACCCTAAGCCTCAAACCCTAAGCCCTAAACACTATGCCCTAAAGCCTAGGCCCTAAATCCTAAGCCCTAAACCCTAACCCTAAACCCCAAGTTTGACGCCGTAACCCCTACAAGCCTAAGCTGTGCAACACGGCCTTGCCTGATTGAAGTACGTTCGTCAGCTGCCACGTCTCCACGCACGTCTCGTGCTCGGCAACCTGGGCAGGTTGCATACAGGTTTAGGGTTTAGGGTCTGAGGTTTAGGGTTTAGGGTTTAGTGTCTGGGGTTTAGGGTTTAGGGCCTGGGGTTTAGGGTTTAGGGTAACCCTTTTTTTGGGGGGGGTCTTGTGTAGAGCACAAGGGACCCAATTTTAGAGAACTACCGAACTACCCATACGGCCTCGGGTTTTTGGCGGCCAGGGGTTAGGGTGCAAAGCTTGGGAGGGTCGAGTGCTGAGGCTTCTTTTATGAAGACGCTGGCTCGGTCCGTGCTCTGCCACCGACTTTAGGGTTTAGGGTTTAGGGTTTAGGGTTTAGGATTTAGGGTTTAGGGTTTAGGGTTTAGGGTTTAGGGTTTAGGGTTTAGGGTTTAGGGTTTAAGGTTTAGGGTTTAAGGTTTAGGGTTTAGGGTTTAGGGTTTCGGGTTTAGGGCTCAAGCGGCTTGGAGGGCTGTTGGTGTTTAGGGGGTCTTGGAGCATGTTCTGTTCACGACTTCCTTGAAGATACACGGCTAGGTGGAACGCAAGATAGATGAGGGTTTAGGGTTTAGGGTTTAGGGTTTAGGGTTTAGGGTTTAGGGTTTAGGGTTGTTGCAAGGGGCAGTTCTCTAAGTCTGGGTCCGTTTCGGGCGCCTTATCATCAGGGCACCGCCACAGGAAACCATCTTTTTTGAACTCCCCCTAAACCCTAAAACCTAACTAAACGGCGTTTAGGGTCTAGGGGTTCAGGCTTTCCCCTGAAGCCTAACCCCCACAAACCTCAAAATTAAACCCCTAAACCCCCCGAATTCAACCCCCTAAATGCCCTAAGCCGTCAACCCTAAACCCTAAACCCTAAACCCGACGCCATCCAAAGTAGCCTTGAAGGCAACTAGCTCACGGAAGTTCAGGACGCGGTATCCTGCGAGCACGGCCGGCTATAAGTAAATGTATAAATAATCATATATATATATATATATATGTGTTTGTATATTTATATATTTATAT